TGGGGCGTAAATCCAACGCGGGGGCGTGAACGAAACACCCATGTGGGAGCTTCTGGAGACCTGTCACGCAAGGCCTTTTAATTTCGATTGGTTGTCTTGTTCGCTGGTATGCTGACTACCGGTTCGCTGTTCGGGATCGGCCCTTAGCCTCATGCACCCAATGAGACTATCCGTGGAGCCTCGGCTTACCGCTTAGTAGGACTCATACATCTCGCTAGCCCAAAAAGCGGGCTTCATCGTCTCCTGATGTGCGAAGAAGTACATCGAGGATGAACCCGGTGAACTTAAATGACATATACTACTAGGATCATGAATTCGTGTCTCCGATACACAGTAGACATCAATTTCCAGAGTCCATTGTACGCACAAGACACGTTTGTTGACCTAACTGCGTCAGAGTCCTCAAGTTGTAGCTTACTAGATTGTAAGCTTAACAAGGCTTCATGATACGCACTTTATTTAATGGTGCTATTTGGCAACGAACTCTAACCAGTGACAAACAAGTTGCCTAATAAAACGCTATGGGTTGGAAGAAGGGGCAAAGGGACAGGGTTGGATACGGAAGACAAAGGTTGGGTTGGNCTATCCCCCCCCCCTGCGCGATGCAATGGGTAGCGCGGTCCTGATTATCCTGCACGACGAGTGATGCAGTATGGAATTATTCTAGTTTGTGTTCATTGGAGTTTCATGGACGGGTACTGCTAGAGGCATCGATTTACTCCCAGGTGGTAGACTGTCTGATCTAGAGTATGCAGACGATATTGTGCTACTGAGTGAAGATCCAGGTAAGTCGCAAGCTTTTCTGGATAGTTTGAGTGCTAGTGTAGCGATGTTCGGTATGCGCTTTGCACCTTCAAAGTATAAAATGCTGCTCCAAGATTGGGGTTGACCAGTCCCCAACCTCACCCTGACCGGGAAAGTTGTAGAGAAAGTAGACCAGTTTTGCTATCTGTGCAGCTATATCTCACCTGGCGGACGCATCATAAATGAAGTGTTGGTGCGCATACAAAAGGCTCGGTTGGCATTTGCCATCTTGAGACTTCTGTGGCGTCGTCCAGACATTCGGTTGTCTGTGAAGGGTCGAGTATATGCTGCAGC